AGTCACAAAAGAAGTGACTTACAAAATTAAAACTAAAATCTTTTAAACAGCTGCACGTCATGTATCGGTCAAATTGAAGCTTTAACCAGTAACATCCCCTGGATCATATCCCATGCATATGACTTCTTCACCTTTCGGGCGCAGGGAAAGCATTTGCATAATCATAGACTTTGGGTGGTAGGGGAATTTGATTCCTATGTATACAGTGTGTAAGAATTGAGAAACTTTGAACCCTTGTCTCGATTTCTTGCGATGTTTTTGTATCGGTTTAATTAAAAGGTTTGTTTATGGTGGAAAGTGCACTCAGCTTATTCAGCTATTTTACAGGTAGTCCACTCAAATTAAAAGATCAGAAGTATATGATCCGAACAGAACATAACAGAATTAAACACCCAACTGGAAACCAGTTGGCTATTTACACGCGTGGTCCGCGAGGATTTGAACTCGGGATGACCAAGAACAAATCCAGCGATTCTAGCTATTGGCCAGCAGACTGGTACTCGAACCTAAAACCCCCGGCCAGATTGCGATTCCCCCAAATCCTCTGGGCTCCGGTGCTTGCAAGAGGAAAGATAAATCATAGCGGATGGCTGACATGGGCAAGTTTGGATGATTTTGTAGAGAAAGATTGCAGCTTGACGGCGGATCGGCTAAAAGGCAAAGGATTACACAGGCTAATTTGCACTGTCGTTAGACTTAGCTTCAAGAACGTTATTTTAAAGCCACATTAGTAATCGTTAAAAAAAATTCCTTTCTTTAAAATTTCCCCAGGGGGGATAATTCAATTGCCTAGGGCCGGGCTGCCCAGGGAGGACATTGAAGCTTCGGTTTGACAGATACGTTACCTGTTTGTCCTTTATAAAAGCATGCCGCACACAAGCAGTATATGCTCAGTATAACTTACACAAAATCTCATGGTCAGTTATATTTTGAAACTCTGCTGCAAAACCGGGGCGAAAAAAAATACATTTGGTTTTATTAACTGACTCGGTTTTATAAAACGAATTTACAACGTTAACCACCATAAAAGAATGAGGAACTTAAAATGTTAGTGAGCAAACAAACAAACAAATGTATCCACAGTCACAAAAAAAGACCAGACCGTAGTTTAGTTTTAAAAATGATCTTACCTGCCTCATAAAGGAAACTGGGGACTGTCCAAAAGTATGTGGATCTCCAAAATGTTGTATCACTTCATTAAAAGGTTTACTTACACCCTGTAAAAAGTGGTAAAAAAAATAAGACTGATTATAAAGCTTGATTGTTAGGATTCGCCGATCATTGTCCATCATCTGTAAGTGGCCTCTAATAACTTTGCCCTAAAATAATACATCTTCGGGAGTAAGAGGCCTTATGGGAAGGGAGGGGTGTAATTTGTCACCAATTTTTGGGGGCTGTTTGGCAACTTCGTACTTTCCTTGGGTTAATTCTCCCCTACCCATCCCTATGGAGCGAGAGCGATAGGTAGGAGGGAACCCTGGGAACGAGGTTGGTTGTTTGGTAGCTGCATTCTTCATCGAAACTGACCGTTCATAATGTATGGGCTGGTGGGGGGGGGCTATGGGGATTAGGAGGCGGACCATTAATTTTCATCCAAGACATTAAAGGTGACATCAAAATTCAATTGGTACTCTGTATAGGGGGGGGGGGGGCCCCGAAAACTTTCTTTAAAAATCGGTCCGGTTCAGGGAAGTTTTTTAACGAAAAAACCTTAGGTCCACTTAAAAAAAAAAACGAAATAATTTTAAAACATAAAAAATAAAAAAAAAGGAAAATTTTACTTTATAGGTCAATTACATTCAGTTTAAACAATAAATTAAAACGTGTATGGCGGTCGGTGAAGGGGGGGGGGCGAGGGGTTGTGGTGGGGGGGGGGGCGGTGGGGGTAGGGGGGGCGGAACCTATTTTTGTGACCGGGAGGGTGAGGGGGCAACCAAATTTAATTTGGTATTGTGGTGGGGGGGGGGGGGGGGAACTTGAACTTACTTTAATAATCGGTCCGGTTCAGAGAAGTATTTTAACGAATAAACTTTAGGTCCACTTAAAGAAGATATCGATATAATTTTAATACTAAAACAGTAAAACAATAGGATACTTTTACTTCATAGGTCAATTACATGCAGTTGAATCATGAACTGAAATTAAGTAAATGCTGCATTTACTTAATAAATATGAAGTAGAGGTATCCTAATGTTTTTCTTTAGTTAAAATTTTATTACCTTAAAAGTAGCCATGATGTGTCTTGCAAATAATATACCATAATTCATTTGTAAAGCTTTAAAACTTAAAGCTTTTTAAACTGTCCACTATATTTTTTCCATTCAGATTTTATATATAATAAAGCCATAACACAGATAATCTACTGTGCAAGGTTATTTTATGCAGTTAAAGTTTCAAAAAAGACTTCACTGCTGAGGCCTAAATGTTGTTTGCATCAGCATTTCAAACATGGTAGATTGTTGGTGATGGTAGTGGTGGTAGAGAGGAAGGAGGAGGGGAGGGTCATGGTATTTTACCTTTGTCCGCAAGCTCTCATGAGGGGGCGGGGGTGGCAGAAAAAATATCTAACATCATCCGGGGGAGCTTGAAAAAATATTTAAGGAAAAAAATTAAGATCCCCAATTAGCCCCCCCCAAAACCATAAATTATGAATGGTCCACTTACAAGATTGGCATGACTCAACCGGCTTCACTTCATTATATAGAAACCAAGCTGAAATTACTGTTCTCATGCATGTGTGAATGGCCTGGGACCACTGGCGCCACATTGCGGCGAAAAAAAGGAAAAGAATCAGTGAGCGAAGCGAGCCGAGCCCCCAGTCTACCCCTTGGCCCGCTTTATTTGGTGATTTTTTTAGCTGTTTCCCTTTTGCCCCCAGTGAGGACGCCTGGTCCCAATGTGTGAATGGGTTGGAAGCCCTATGATTTTCGCACTGGCGCAAAAGCTATCCAGTATAGAATTAAGTGACCAGTGTTTGTCGTCATGGAGTTGTGACCTTAGATAGAAAAGTTTCAGTAAAAAGGAGAAATGAGTGGACTGATTGCTTAGCAGTTGTTAGTTGTTCCCATTCATACAGGTGTTCAAATTTATGTTAGAATTTTAAGCAATAATTTTACCAATTTATGATAGGCTCCGATAAATTCTGCTTGTAAAATGGCTTATTCTGCCTGACGGCAGCTTGCTCGTAAAAATTGCTTATTCTGCTAAAAATACTGCTCAGAAACCCTTATTCTGCTTGAATTCTGCTCCGTATCCGATTTATTTTCACAAATCAAGAAGGCCAAGTCTGGGCCTAACCCCTAAAAACCAATTAGACATTCATTTTGTATAGCAAAATTGTAATTCATCTTACTTTTTAATGTGAGCGTATTGTAGCAATTAAATAATCAATTACATATTAATCACAAGTACAAGGTCAGTATTTGTTTTTTAAAATTTAGTTTTAAATTTTCCTTACAACTGTTATGCATTATCATTGGTGCTGCCCATGTTCCCTTATTCAGCAGGAAAATGCCTCATTCTGGCAGCAGAATGCTCCCCTCAAAAATCGCTTATTCTGCTTGAAATTCCCGGGGGGTGCTCGAGGTGTGCTGCCATGCCCAGGCCAGGCCAGGCCTGCAAACCCTGACCTTGTTTAAGACAAAAACTTCTCATTTCGCTATCCCGTTTAAGACAGGAGACACTACTCCTTGTTCAGCGGCACATCCCCGCATAGGCCAAATAAGGGAGTGCCCTCCCCGCCCCCCCCTGCCGGTTTGATTTTTGCCAGCACAATTTATCCAAGCCTAATTTATGAATAGACCTTGTCACGGTTTTCGACGCCATCTTGACGAGTAGGCCAACGTGTGAGCAATTACAGTGTTTGTATGAGAATCTAATGGTGAATAATTTCCATAAAACGGCTGTTCTGAAAAAAACTATTTTTGTAAACTAAAGCTACAAAGCAAAGGATTGTACTAAAAAAATTTGGGGCCGCACCTGTGCTTAAGTTTCTTCAGACGCTTGCTTTAGATTTTCCATATATTTGTCTGTAATTTTTCCTGGGACTTCCTTACAGACAAATGTATAGGAAATTTAAAAACGTGGTTTTAGGTCTTCTAGCGCATGGAACGCCCTCAGTTTTTTTTTTCAGTAGAATCCTTAAGAGTGAAGCTTTAGTTTACAATTCATATATATATTTTTTTCAGAACAGCCGTTTTACGGCAATTATTCGACATTAGATTCTCATACAAACACTGTAATTTCTCACGCGTTTGCATACTCGTTATTATAAAGATGGCGTCGAAAACCGTGACAAGATCTATTTGTTAGCGTGTGTATTAAACTGCAACAAACTAGCAGTAAACAGCAATGCAAATCAGTTCATTGCCTTACAATCTACCTTATCCCGTAAAAACTAGAAAAAAAAAAAAGAACACTACGGTCTCATCATGAGCCGGCTTCAAATGGCAGAGATTACGTAAAGGTTTGGTCACGCAATGTTGAACATGTTGGATAGAAGAACTGACTAAAATAAGTTTGAGATGTCACCCATCTTACCTGTTGAAGTTCTCGTCGAATCTCATGGGCCCGTAAATCGGTCCACGGTCTTGAAGTGGCGTAGTTCTGGTACACATGGCCGATGGTTTTGTCAGTAATGATTTCCTCCGCTGCCATTTCGGTACGTAAAGAGCAGATAGAGGAAAGAATTGTGGGACTGACCTAGGGGACCGTTGAGAAATTTACACCTGCGTGTGAACGAAAGCGTGTAGTAGTTGCCTGTGCTTTGCCAGCGATATTGTCCGTCCCCTCCGTAAGTTTTATTTTTTGTATTCTGCGGGTGTTTGACCCTAAGTGTAGAGCTACACTTGTAGGTCTGTAGAGGTCACCCTGATGTTGAGAAGGATTGCGGGCTCGCGCATCCAGTGGTGTAGCCAAAGTCACGCAAAGAGTCGCCGCTTGGCCGCTTGTCAGGGTTCTCTCTGTGTTGACCGATTACTTTTCGCAGTTCTACGACGGAAATGATGGCAGAAGAAATCATTACGGACAAAACAATCAGCCCTGTTTTCCAGGGAGGCATTAACCCTGGAGGTTGGGTCGATTTTCGGGCCTATGAAATCAAACAAGAATTAGCAAGGGTAGGTAGGCCTGCTGAACTTTTAGGTTTTTTCTTGTTGTTCCCAGCTGTCTGCAAAATCATGAATATTCGGGAACTTGCGAACTTGCAGAAGTGCATTAACGCTCGAAACAATTTATGGAGATCAGGCTAGCGATATTAATGTCCTTATTCAGTTCTGTGTGTAGTCTGAAATGTCATATATTAATGTACAGGTTAGGAGGTTGAGACTTTTCATTTCCCCTCCCGCCCCTCCAAAGCAACTTTTTATTCCTTTTGATGCCGTAGCAGTGTTAAAAGTAGCCAAATATAATCAAAGAACCTTAAACTGCTTATAGAGCTTCTACTCTAATTATTGATGACTTTGTGCCTACTTAATTTCACTGATTCACTTTTGAACATGGATCAAAGACCCCGCCCCCTCCCCCTCGTGAAGAAGAGTCAGAATTTCTTGCCCCACCCCCACCTCACTACATAATATGATATCAAAAAGCCTTTGAAAAACCGCGTTCGATGTGTTCTTTTCAAGCGATGCTTTTGATATCATTTTTTTTTACGTCCCAAGAATATAAACGTCAGTTTTCTTCTAATTAATTATAGCCACTGTGAGCAAGCTCTCCTTGAGGGTGCTCTGGCAGCGGGGAGAAAAAGGAAGTTAAGGAGTGCATGCAACTACATAGATCTCTGGAATTTCAATTTCCCGTCCAATTCCATAATTGACTGAGCTGTCAGATTTCCACCAATCAGCACAAAGTGGAAAGCGCGAATGAAAAAAAAATGGAAAAACACGTGCTGAGGGTAATGACATCATTACTATTGTCGTCTCTGCCAATCAGTATTTTGTTTTGCCTTTTTTGATGTAAATATTAAAATTCTAGAGACTAGTTGCAAGTTCTCCTTCCTTTTCCCGCCCTGCTGCCAGAATGCCCTGGAGAGCTAATGCTCTCAGGCTTAATCAAATTAATATCATTTAATGTGTGATTAAGAGAAAAGGTTCAAGAATTACTAAAACTTGTGGAATCAACTGTTGCAGCCAATTACATTCCTACAAGAGCTTAATTGGGTGTGTTACTGTTACTGGTTGCTGTTGGTCCATTTATAATAATGTCAGCTGATCACACAGGAAAATAATCCACCACTAGCTGTGTCAGTCTGCTTGGTAATACAATAATACACTCTGCGGTACTTTTATTTTAAAGGGGGAACAAAAACCTTTCAAAGAAGTTGTAAGATACTTTGGAGATCCTCATGCATTTGGACAGAAACCCATCACATCATTGAGACAGGTGCAGTGATTGACAACCTAATATCATTAATCAGTGTTGGAAAACTGTAATATTTCCATTATTCAAAAATTCTATATTTGACACTTGAATAAAGTTCTATATTTCTTACATATAGTTATTCTTACCACTCAGATTACACAATTTCAACTAAAGTCATTTCAGCAAATCGATCAGCACCGTATTAAAAAACCTAATTAGTTCAAACAACTTTGGGCAGGGTTTGATGTAGGTGACCCCGAGAACAAAGGAAGCTACCATCTCTCTATATATAAGTCTCTGTGAGGTTTCCATCAGGTTACCATAGGGTTAACTGTTCATGAATACCTTTTAACTCCAGCATTAAATTCGCACCCCGGCAACATTTGTGGAATTTGACTATACTCTCACTACAGCTTCAACTTTGTCTCCACATTAATCTGTATTTGTAACTTTCATATTTCTCATTTGATAATTCAATTTTTTCTGACATCCCCTGACAACATTTTTCATGAGTATTGTTTTCAATGTCTCAAACTTATGCAAATTTTGTGGAGAATGTGAAAGTCTAAAGGAATTTTTTTCACCTTTTTTGACAGTTTCTGTCATGTGTCATATGTCCAACTTTACTTGAAGATTCGGACTACCCGAAGGACATACATGAAAAGGTGAACAGGATTCTCAATGCCAAAGCAGGCCATGTTATAAGTAAGTATCATTGTTTTTCACATCACTTAAAAAGAAGGTAGCTTAGTATTTTAAGTGATAGGGTAGGAGTGAAAAAAATTGGACAAGTTTAGGTTTTAAGCACCATGGAAAGAGGTTTCATCAACCTCATTCCCAGCTTCTGGGTAGGAGAGAACCCTGGGAACGTAGGTTGAGGTTCCATTTGAATGGTCATATTGGAGGATTTCATTCACAAACTCATAAGCTAGAACACCTTCTCTCAGGCTACCCTAATGGCTGAAGAAAACTGTCATGAATGAATCTCCACCAGTTAAGCATCAGTAACATCATCATCATCATCACCATCACCATCATCATCATCATCATTAATAATTATCAACAGCTACCGTCCTGTCAAGCCCTTTCCTTGTCGCCACTTCTTACCAAGCTTTTGGAGGCAGTGTGGCCTAGCAGTATACAGTTGAACCTCTCCAAAGCAGCCACCTTGGGAACAGAAGAAAGTGGCCGTTGTAGAGAGGTTTAAACAGGAGTCAATGTACAGATGGTCTTCTACACAGCCATTTTTAGTGTTGTCACGCAACGCTTCACGGCTGTGTAGCAGACTAATGTATAGACTGTCCGCCAAAAAAAGTGGTTGTTGTTTAGAGGTGGCCGTTAGTAGAGGTTTGACTGGAAGAATGCTGAAATTGTAATCTTAAGGTTCCCCGAGTTCAAGCCCTGCCTTTAAACCCCTAGCTGGATTTGTTCTTGGTAATTTTGAGTTCAATTCCTCATCTAGTAAGCTGGTTTGCCTCCGGCCATTCAGAATCTTATCCTTGTGGGTGACAATAAAAACTACCAGTTTACCAGTTATTGTGTTACCCCCATACAGTCTGTTTTTTGTAAACCCCACTCGAGACCCCTACAAAATCCAGTCCTGGGTTACTCTTTTCGTAAGTCAAACCCTTTCTCTTCTCCTAATTTTGCCTAACTCATTCTCCACTTTGACCACCCCTTGATCAAAATTTTCCTCATATCCCTCAGTACAACATTCCATCCCCTACTTAAAATCCCCCCCCCCACAAACCCCTTTCAATCCACCCTCCACCCCTTAGAACAGTCATAGTTGTAAAGCCCTTGCTTGTTCCATCCCCCTTTTAAAAACCCATCTTCCACACTCTCGCCAAGTTACTCTTGTAGAAAAATTATTCTTACTGTATGGTATTTCTAGGTTCATATACAGACCCTCTTGGACTAAGGATTGTTCGTGAAGATGTTGCCCAGTTTATTTCTGAAAGAGATGGTTATCCTGCCGACCCAGAAGATATAATTCTAACAAATGGAGGAGCACATGGAATTCAGGTGTTCATGAGTATTTTCTAATTTTTTTTAGGGTTATCCATGGTCAGAAATACTTTTATAAAGGTAAAAGGAAGTTTGGAGACATAACTAATTTCTTTCTTTTATGGTATTTACTATTAGCACTTATAACAGTTTTTAGGTTAAAACCGCTTCCCATTTTAGCCTATTCCAGGCTCTGAGATAGTGGGGTCCACGAAATTGAGAAGGCACAAACATGAATATAATAACAGGGAGAAACTCATCACGTGCTTAGTTTCGTGAGCCTTAGTGACTTTAAGATCCAAGGACGCGACGGCAATGAGAACGTCGGTTAAAAAGTGAATTTGCGTTCTTTCTGTTTTTATCGAAATTATTCCTACACCCTTTACTTTGTCAAATGTAGGCAAGCCCTCCTGGAGTTGAATTCCTAAGGACCATATCCAAGTGCAGAAAGAGAAAATTCCGTCGTTGCTTGTTTACGTACTCCATAAAACGCGAAGTTAGGCATGTTCACGTCGTAGTCGTGCAAAAACGGGCAAAAAAATGTACCAAAAAAGTTTGGTGCACGTGCAAAGTTGTTGTTTTGCTAATAAAACCTATTGTTGTTTTGACGTTCTCGTTGCCGTCCGTGTCGTTGGATCTTAAAGTCCCTAGTGTGTTCGACGAAGGAGAACGCAATCCTTTATCAGCTTTCCTGTAGCTTTTTTACAGACAGGAGAGAACAGGTATCTGTTATGTCAGTCTGTCCTTCTCTCCTTTTTTTTATGGGGCTTTTTTGGTCTGGGGGGTCTTGAGTACTCTGTCCTCAGCCAAATGTACAGTACATGTACAATGTGCGCCCAGGTAGAACGCTTCTCATCAGTAGTCTATGCATGGACTACATCGCTCACTGAATACAGGGTGGTAAATATAACATAGACATTTTCACGCGCGCTTTCAGGTTGGCATGCAGGCACTAGACGCCAGTTCAGACAGTAGAAATAAAAGGACAGGAATTCTGATTCCTATTCCCGTGTTTCCTCACTACCTGTCAAGAATCATGGAATACAACTTCCACCAGGTAATTTAATGTAGTAATAAAACTGAGTGTCTTGAATACAGACCTTGTAGTTTGGCTATTAAATGTTACATTTTAATTTTGTAGCAATTTTCAGGTTATCTGTCAGGTTTTTTCCGCGCTATTGAGGTGTTAGCCCATGTGTATAAATGTACTAGCCTACCACGCACAGTCTGAGTGTTCGTATTTCCTCCCTCATCCCCTAAGAAAGCCTGCGAGGGAGGCTATATGTGTACTGGCACACTGCTAACAGATTGCTTTGGAAATTTTATATATTCTTTTGTGATGGCTACTACTTCTTGAGAGTATAGCATAGCCATTTTGTCGTGGTGTATGTAAGATTGAGTACAAGTAGCCCTAAATCTTCGGATATTTTCCGTAACCGCCCGATGGGGCTTCGATCGACACCGACGCTTCTTTTCTTTTGTGTAGATTCCTTACTATTTGGACGAAGATCACGACTGGTGTTTGGATATCGGAGAACTGAAGAGGGCGTTAGACAAGGCCAGGCCATATTGCACTCCGAGGGCTCTTGTACTGATTAATCCTGGAAATCCCACAAGTAAGACGTGATAACATGGAGAATGAGTCATTGAGAGTCAAGTTAGGCGAAGAAGTCAGATCCGGATTTAGCACTGACAATTGTAGTCGGACTAGGGCTAGTTTAGTCGGTAGAGCGCTTAACTGCGAGGAGGTCGAGGGTTCTGTTCCTGTGACCGGGGCACTACTCAGGGACTTAAAATAACTGAGAAGTGAAGGTACAGCTTTTGCCCTGCACGCGGCTAGACCTTCGCGTGGCTCGGATGACCAGATAAATTGGCGGTCCCGTCTTCAGTCAGAGACATAAAATAGCGTCCTTAACTATTCCTTTCGTGCTAAATACATTGACATTTAAGTGAATAAAGTGCCTTTAGTTATATGTCTAGTATATCTACAGTATGCATGTGTTTTTTAAAACCAGTTACTAGCGGCAAATCCGAGAGATATTATTTTAACATGCTTTTTATTCAAAGTGTCGAGGTAACGAGGTTGTAGTCCCCTTTTCTCGCATTCAGGTCAGACATTTTGAGGTTCACACCTTTTAGCTGAAAAAGGTGAGAAATCTTTAAGTTAGAATTGGAAATTATATTTTTGTTCTGTTTTGACAGGCCAGGTCTTGACGTACGACAACATTAGGGAAGTTATCAAGTTTTGCGCTCGAGAAAAACTTGTATTATTTGCCGATGAAGTGTATCAAGAAACCGTTTTTACCGACGAGGTCCAGTTCCACTCGTGCAGGAAGGTCTTGAGGGACCTGGGTCCCGAATACAACAAGTTCCAACTGATGTCGATAAATTCAGTCTCCAAAGGATTTTACGGCGAGTATGTACATAATGTTTGAGATAACAGTATCAAACCAAACAACTGTACTGTAAAAAAAATAGTTTTGAAGGGCTATCTCAACAACCCGCCAGAAAGAGAGCCTTCATTTTGATTCGTCGCAAGGCCGGGCTGATCCAGGCCTTTTCTGATTGAGGGATGTCCAACCTCTGCACATCAATCATTTCCACCTTTCCTCGCCATTAAACGTTGGTTATACTTCGTAGATCCTTGCTGCCATTAAACCTGTACATATACCCTAAAATTCCGAAAATAAGCCCCTTCATGTATAGGCCCCCCAAACTAGTAACGCAAAAAACCCTCCGTTAAATCGCCCCTCCAAATATAAGCCCCCCGTGGGACTTGTGCTTAGAAATTGCCCTAAATACAAACTAAAACAAAGCGGAAACGGCAAATTTCCTTCATTTATAAGGCTAGGCCAATCGACTTTGAAACGCAAATCTCCCTCCGTAGATAAGCCCCTCCGAATATAAGCCCCTCCAAAAATAAGCCCCTCAAAATGGGCCTTTGAAAATAATAAGCCCCGGGGCTTATTTTCGGAATTTTACGGTATGTGAGATTCTTCTCATAAAGGACCCAGCTTTAAAAAGTTCTTCTCCTGATTCAGTCCAGATTCAGTCGATTTGGAAACGACCTATGATTGTAATGCAATGAAAAACCCAGTTTCATGGAAGTTGTGTGCGAATCTTCAAAGTAGCTCAGTAGTAAAACTATTAAGAAATAATCTGGTCTCACGGATATATTAAGGGCGGGTCGGGATTCGTCACTATGTAAGTCTAGGTTAGCCGATAAATCTTAGCATTTTGGATGGTCGCTTAGAGGCATTGTTTTGACTGTATTTAGTTTAATCTCTTTACTAGATGTGGTGTGAGGGGTGCTTACATGGAATTAGTAGGGTTCAGCAAAGAAGTCAAGGTGCAGTTTAGAGACGTACTCTCTCCCAATGTTTCTCCAACGACGATTGGACAGGTATTACTAGCCTTCTCGGTCAATGCGTTTCAGTGGCGTATCAAAGACGATCAGTGGAAAGAACCCACAAACTCGCTCTCACCACGAGACCCGAAATGCGTCGGCCAGCGAAATAATGGGACTTTGAGACTAGCCATGGCACGATCGTTTTAATTCAGCTAAGTCCACGTTTAGACGCATGCGCACGATTGCACTTTCAATGGTAATTTTGAGCACTGCGACAGGGTTCGAACTCAAAAGACATCAAGGTGCCCGTGCCTGAGCCCATGAGTTTTTCGAAAGGTGGATAATGTTATCTACCGGATAAATCTCTATCCACTCGATAACGCAATTGGTTTCCCCAATACTTATCCGCTGAAGAGCGATTTATCCAGTGGTGAGTGCAATCCCAACATTTAAACCACCGGAGCCTGTTGGTTACTTCAACTACGTTGACAGTTATTTTGCTTTAATACTAAAAAAATCTCTGAGTCGTGGACATTCACTGTATAATTATATAATTATTTATTTGTTTATATAATTTATTTCATTTTTACGAGGCTGCTGTGAGTGCAATGTGCAATCCGCCAAGGACTGGTGACGAATCCTACGAGACTTTCATCAAGGTAAAATGTAACCCTGCTTCGCGCTGTTGTACAGCAGCTCTTCATGTAACTTTTTTCTACTCAGTGACAGTTGTACACGTTAACGCGACGACGGGATTTTTTTTATCCTTTCCTTATGTCCTGCAGGAGAAGACAGCCATTTTAGAATCTTATAGAAGGAAAGCCAAAATTACCACATCAATGTTGAATTCTCTTGAAGGAATCTCGTGCAGTGACGTAACTGGTGCGTTGTATGCCTTCGCAAAAATTGAACTTCCACAAAAAGCCATTGAAGAGGCTAAGGCGAGTACCTTTAATAGCCTGTAATAGTAATTAACCAAAAGGAGAAAATCTGATTCACCGACGGCGGGGATTCGAGCTCATCCCCAAATACCGGCTGTGCGCTATAAACTCTGAGCTTCCAAGGAATTGTGATGTTTAAGGCCCAATAACAGTTTCTCCGTAAATCGGAGATTCACTCTCCTTTTTTTTTTTTGGAAGGTTAAGCTTAGGCAACAACTCCCAAAAAAGTTGGGAGTTGTTGGCTAACAATGTTGCGTCCGTTTGCATGGGCCGGTTTCAAACTTTGCGCAACAACTCCCAACAACACGCAACATACAACAGGGTGTGCCAACGGACGCAAAATGTAACGTCCAACAATAATGCTTCCGTTTGCACGCACCTTTAGAGGTTCATATTGCTGCAGGCGCCGGACACTCGGAGTTTTTTTTTCCAACGTTCGTGACAATACGAAATGTGACACCTTTTTCATTTATTCACCGAGCTTAACATCTCTTTCGTTGTTTTGCTGCTTTTTCTCAGCTTAAAAATTGTACACCAGACGAGTTCTACACCTGGCAATTGCTAGAAGCGACTGGTTTACTCCCTATTCCCGGAAGCAACTTTGGGCAAAAAGAGGGAACATATCATGTCAGGTTAGAACAGTTCTCATTTACCTTACGCGGCCTAAAATAAGGGCCAGCCAAGGGACAACGCCCATTCAGTAATGGGAACAGAGAACTGCACTGGTTAAGTACCTGTCAGAGATTACTTAATAGCTTCAGCATATTTTTCCTTAAGAGACTCAAAATCGAGTGCCTCCTTGTACCTTAAATGCAAAACAATCTAACGTGACCGTTATTTCGCTCGAATAACGAGAACGCTTGCTAATCTGGTGGTTTTCCCGTGTGAATGCTTTCAAAAAACATCCACCAAATTAGCCCGGGTACTATCTGCTTTGGGTCGAAGTTAAAGTTTATTGAACGAGACCATCGCCCGTACTCTCTCTGTCCACATTAGACCTCACCCTTACAACATCAATAGACACAGTGGAACTGAGATTTCGTTAGAACATAGTTAGTAGGGGGGTCCCCTCTACTAACTATGGTTAGAAACGAGGATGCTTGCAGCAGCTGATTGGTACCACTGCAGAAGGCAACAGATTTTTACACGAATAATGGCATAAAAAATGCTAAGGATCTAAACCCACCAACTATGAGTAAGGTTCTTAACTCAGGCACGTTCAATATATTAAAATTCTAGCGTGACTCCGAGGCTTTCTATGGTCATTTTTCTATATTTGGTTTGGTTTTCTTTGTGCTCAAGTCTCTTCTGGGAATTGCGAGACAATGGAGTCGTGAAAACTTTGCAATTTTGACCCTAAAGCCTCGGAGTCGTGTTAGAATGTTAATTTATCGAACGTGGGCTAATTGACATATCAAGGTAATAATATAATCCTCGTTTGTTTTGTTTACTACAGATTTACTATTCTACCTTCTGAAGATAAAGTAGTTTCTATGTTCAACAGGATAAGCACGTTTCACAAGGAATTCATGGACAAATACAGATGACGACAAGCAGAACATATTTATCCAAACTTCTACATTTAATTATATGTTGTAGCTAATTTTTCTATCTCAGTTAATTTTTACTTTTCCATTGTTTTGGGGGATGGTAATGTATGCTAATGAATTTGAAATAAAGGAAAAACAAAAATTAAGTAAAATAAAAAATTGACTGCAACATATACATTTTAATTTTCTTACATATCACTGCATTCACGATTTTTGTGCGTATTATAATTGTGAGAATTGAAACCGTTTTGAATAGAGTTTGTTGTGTTATGCATTCTTGTGTCTTTGCCCCTCTATTCTTACAAAATAGCTACAGCCTCAGTCAAAATTGTTGGGACACCTTATTGTCTTCCTGCCCTCCCAAAGTTGGAGTAAACCGCTCTCCAGAGCGGTATAAGGCCGAACTAAGCTAGGTTTGGCTACAGGAGTAGGTTGATGACCTAGATTGTCTAGGGAATGGGGGGGGGGGGGGGACTCAACAAATGGTTTAAACGGGGGGGGCGGAAAAAGGGCCCGAGGGCCCACCCCATCACCCTTTTTATCACCCTTTTCGTTACCATCCCTTGGGCAACTGCCCCCCATTTCCCTCACTTGTTTGGCACCTNCCTTTAATTGCTTTAAATGCACTGTCGTTTAAATAGGAATCAATCACAAAAATAGAACGTTTTCTCGACATGTAATTCATCTGTTAGCCCTTTTGGGACCTTTCACAGACCCAAATGACAGGTTCCCTAACCTTTTATATACTTCATCTAGTGAAATCCTAACCCCTTCATATACCTGAAGCCTGAAAAAGATACCCATTTCGGGCGGAGCCTCCCTGTATAGGCCATCATAGGGAGTATCCCCAGAGTAGATTGTATCCCTCGACTCTGCGACACAATAAATTTTCATGCACTTCACGAATTTTGCATTGCGGTATTGATAGTTGGGTGGGTAGGAAGGTTGCGACCTAAAAAATGAAAAACGAAAAACTGTTCGCTATCATGAAGCAGCCCTTGAAATCAGGATAATCGGCTTCCGTCGCGTATGTTGCAGCCCGCAAAAGAGTTCAAATCGAAAATGTGGAGGGTCCGACGCCGAATTCGCACGAGACTCATGGCTCAATTAAACTGTCCTTGAGTCAATTTTTTTTTTCTGTTTTTTTTTTTTTACTGTTTTTGTAACATTTAGACCAAACATGTACATTACTTGTGCCAAAATCAAAGAAAACGTACGAAAAGAATCACTTGAAAGTATGATCCGTCATCCAGCTATCCAGGACTTCAGTGATCCAGTTGAAATTTTCACGATCGTCAGCCGATCCCTAGGACCTGATTGCGTGACAGAGTAACCAGAGATACTCACTTAGCGACTCATTCAAATGCACACCGGCACGTCAAAAGATCATATGCTTGAAATGGAGGTTCTTACCGATGAAAACATTAGTCCAGCTTTCAAGAGAATCAAATATGGAATACGAGGATGGCTCGAAGATCGCACTTATGAAATAAAGCAAGAGCTTGCTCGCGTGAGTATAATTTATTCACAACGAGCTTTTCAAAGGCTTATGGTCGGATCGGGGCTGGGAGTCAGGCTAGTTAAGTACCCACGTTTTTCATCCAACTACACTGTCAGAGAATGGTCTTATACCCTAGGCTATCTTCTGAGATTGTAGGCTATTTAAGTTCCTAAATAGGTCCTTAACCGCTATCTACAAGTCTACAAAGCACAAAGCACAAAGCAAAAATGATGCAATAGACCTTCGTCAAGCGGGGGCCATTTTGTCTCGGAATATTAATTTAAAAGCTTTGTTTATGCACGCCAGACTTAGTTAATCGATAAACCGATAATCGATACCTGTATAAATCATCGATGAATATCGATTTCTGATATCGATCGATAGACATCGATAAAGAAAAAAAGTTGTGACTTCGATTAATATTGATGATTTTCCGATAGAAATCGATAATGGTTCTTCATCGATTACTATCGATTGTTATCGATTTTGTTAATCAATAACAATCGATAGATTGTTTTTTCTGTGACTTCGACTTTTATCGATTAACTACGTCTGGTGCACGGCTCGTAGAGAGAACGAGGCTAGTCGTGCATTTATATACAAAGCTTTTTTTATAAATCTCCTGAGACGAAATGGACGCCACGTGACAAAGGTTGTTACAGGGCCTAAAAAGCATGTGTGCCACAAGCAGCCCAGGTTAGTATTTGTAGAAAAATCCATGATAGATCAGCCTGCATGTAGTTGTTGTTGTCCTTTATACGATCTCACGTCAGTCTCAAGCCCAAAGCATAAGAGTCAGCAGTTGTTCACCTCCACTTTATAGAGCAACAATAACAACTGTTTAACTCCTTCTTTATAGCCCCATTTTCTAGAGGTGGTGATCTAAAACTAATCCCACAGTAGGTTATTACGAGCAGTTATGAAGTCCGTTGAAAATGGCTTTTAAAAATCAAATTCTTAATATCTTAATTAGTGTTGCATAAGAGAGGACTTAAAGTAGTCTGTGTAAAGAAAAAGCATACTGGATATCAAGGGGTAGATGTTCCACTCTGGGGTAGTTGTGAGGAAAGAATAATGCTCTCTATAACAGGACTTCGGCGCTAGAATATTCCTGAAGTACAGTAGACTTTAAGATTGTCTATAGCATCCTCTGATCCAGTTAGAGTGGCAATAGTTTACTTGCCTTGTACTCCCTAACATGTCACAATGGAACTCAACTGGTTTGAATTTGTGCGTCATGAAGCAAGGCCAAGATGACCCAGAATCTCAATTTTATTGATTTAATGGTAAAAGTACACACAAGAGGACATGATGCAGGGAATTAGTGTCCCACAGGCCAGCAACTTTTTTTTTGTTCAAGATTGTTCTCTGCACCTTTAAGTGGTGCATAATGTTGCATAATCTCTCTCCCCTGTAGAGATATATTACAGCGTACACATAATCCAGTAACACATTTGACATATTTTTTACTGCATTCCAGTAATATGTTGTAACAAAATTAAAATGACCCGATATGGGCTGCAGGTACTCCTAGGAGTTGGTCCATCACTGTGACAAACTTAACCCTTGGCAGCTTTGACCTACATTTAAGGTCTACTTAATTGATAATTGAATGTGACTTATATACACATCTACCAGTAATATGCTTCTTGACAATTTTATAATAGGGAGAAAGCAAACCTTTTTCAGAAGTTGTCATACATCTAGGAAACCCACAAGGCATGGGGCAACCACCTATTACCTTCTTTAGACAGGTGAGTATATTAACTGTCCTTGTTTGTCAGGACTTAATAATGTGAGGTTAGACCATCAGTAGGAGGCGGCAGATGCAGAAAACTGATCATGAGAAAGTGGTGGGAGAGTGGCCAAGACACTTGCCAACTATTTTTCCCCTGAGATTGGGAGCTGGGACCATCAAAGACTGAGTGTCCTTGGACCATGCACCCCTAAATCAACCCATGATTTTCATCTTTTTGTTAGAACCTTAAAGCATAAATCAATGTCCTCATGTAGAACTCATGCATGCCTAAACTGTATTCGTCCAAGCTATATTAAATTCAGCATTCAGGTTATAATACAGCAGTCTTTAATTACATAATTTTACAATTTGAGCTATAAATGCTGCTTTTCTCCTTTTCAATGGAAACCTAATCTATTTTAAAGGCTCTTTTGGTTGTATAATAAAGTAAGGATAAAAAACGTTTACTCTAGTCTTGAACACAGGAAAAAATAACGAATTCCCATTTTTGGATATTTTAGGGTATTCAAAGAATACCCACAAAAATCCCAAATTTGGAAGAGTGAGACAAGTCCCAATCAGGGAACTTGGTTGGGAATTCCCTGGTTGGGACTTGTCTCACTTTGCCAAATTTGGGATTTTTATTGGTATAATTCTTTAAATATCCTAAAATATCCAAAAATGGGAATCCGTTATTTTTTCCTGTGGAAGTTGGTATGGTAATATCCAATATCTATAGAATTTGATATTACAACCTTTAGAACCAAAAGCCCTCCCTTAATTTTAAGTGATTTATTATAATATGACTGATCACCACTACATAGGGTAGACAGTGTGTGTAACTTTTTGCAGGTTATGGCTCTTCTTTTGTGCCCTGACCTTTTAGATGATCCAAGCTTCCCTCAGGATGCTAAAAGAAGAGCCAAGAGAATCCTCGATGACACAATTGGACATACCATAAGTTAGTAATAATAACAAGAATTGCCATTATTTGAGTGAACCTTAAATGTTGGTTAATAATATTGAAACAGATGCAGTCCAGGGGCGGATCTAGGGGGAGGGTGCAGGGGGTGTGCACCCCCCCCCCTCCCGAGATGACCTGCGGTTTTCTAATACAACTGGTATTCTGCAAAAAAAAAACTATGTGGTTTATTGGTGTTGAAGTAGAGTTAGAGACGAGTGCACCCCCTCCTGAAAAAAATTCTGGATCCACCCTTGCAGTCTGATCAGTGCTGCAGTTCCTTTTCAGTTTGAGTGCCTGATGTCACATTTATTATATCATAATAATTCTAACAGAATCTCGTTTGTCATCAATAACTCTGACCACAGGGTCCAGATAGAGGAGATGTGTTTGTCGTTAGAACATCAAAACCCGTCAAAAACCTCTAAAGAAATGGGTTATTTTGATCGCATTACAGTTTCGTTACACATTCTATAGACCGCAAACCAAGAGACTGAGGGCTCGCACTAGGCACTTGGTGCCTCGGTCGCCCTTCGGGCGACGTGCCGTGCGCCAGCGAGGATATGGCTTGCGGTTATTGATTTTCAAAAGTCGATCTGGGTCAGATAAGAAGCGAAGAAATCGTTTACAGTAGATTTATAAAGATCCCATTGGGCTAATTAATCGTGCTAAGCGACAGGTATAGACAATTTTCAAGGTGAGACTTTAAATAAGTAATTCATTTATTCACACGAAACTCCCCTAGACAGTGTGCTCTGACAGGGATTTTCCAGAAAATCTCCTTCCTACAGCCACACCTTTTCCTGTCTAAAACCGGGAGGGCCAAAATTTGAGAATTCCCCTTGCCCCACATATCTGTAAATTTCGGTTAAGCTTTCCTCAGATGACACATCCCCCGGACAGAGCTGACTGATCTCCCTAACACTGAAATGCTAAGTTTGCACCCTGCTTTTCTTAGCACCTCTCAAAGGCAGATACTGTCATATTTAGGGGTCAATCCATCTTTGAGTACCTTTTAGTTCCTTCTATTCAGTTTCCTTTAGTCTTTGGTTGGCACAGGTGGGTTGAGTTTCTTGTTGGTTCTCTTCCTCATTCCGTTTCTTCCAGCACTCTAGTTTAATTTCCCACTCCTCAAATTAAACCAACACATCCAAGTTCCAAGTCGATCTGGAATGCCTGATGATGTTTAAACGAGTTCTAAAGAAGTCCTCTTTTGCAATGTTTATGATTAATATTTTAGTTCAGTGCTAAAGCACTTAATAATCAGTGATCACCTCCAAATTTCCATGATGGTATCTTGAATATGATTTCTAGAGAAGGAACTATAAAATTATGGTTTGCATTTACACTTTTACAGGTAGCTACACTTCAGCTCAGGGTATAAATGTTTTGCGTCAGGATGTGGCTAATTACATTACACAACGAGACAGTTATCCTGCAAACTGTGAGGATATTTTTCTCATAAATGGAGGAGCAGAGGGAATTGATGTAAGTTAATGTGATTGCTTCTGGATTGACATCTAACAAATGTTTTTAAATGTGTGCTTTTGAATTGGTACATTAAGCTACAATTAGTTGCTTGTCCTTTCCATCATCATTCTCAATATCATCATCTTCATTACTAATTTCGTATTAGACATGAAGTGGGAAATATTTTTTTATGTTGTGTGTAAAGCGGTGAACAAAGCTGAGATAGAAAAACAAATATAAGTAAGTACCAACTCACCTGAGTAAACCTAGTGGTAACTGAAAAAATAATGGTTTGTTTGGCCACACAGGTCATGATGGGAATTATTTCAACAGGAATCACGGAAGGAAAGGGTCGAGCTGGGGTAATGATTCCTATCCCTGGATATAGTATGTATCAGGCGAGGCTACTGCAACACAACACACACCAGGTAATACCTATTCGTTCACGCATTTTCCTCTACTTAGTCTACGTAGCTGACGGTTTTGTGTGGGAGGGGCAGCGGAAAGGAGTGCGAAGAGAGTGGAGCGCTCTTTCGCACACGCCTCGCGCGTGCTGTCGCGGCTTTACTTCGCTTTTCACGCTTGCTGACCAGTAAATTGTAACGTCAGATAACTGTTAAGAAGAAAGAGACTTGCCGGAGACTCTAAAAGATGGTTGTAAATTTGAATTAATTGTTCGCATCCCGAAAGTCTACTCCTGTATTTTCCAAGCAGATTTTCCATCTTTAAGAGCCGTTGGCGCGTGCGAACCACTACTAGAAAAGCAAAATATTACAAAACAAAAAACGCTTTGTTGTGTTCGAGCGAGTGAGCTTCTTCGCTGCACAAAATTCGTCCAAGTTTGGCTGATTTTCACTAACCACAGTGACCGGCCGGTCGTACTCAGAGTCGTAAACGGTTTCATAAGCTTAAAGGCCGGAATCGGAGTCCCAAGAATTGGAACGTTTTTGGCTTCCGACTCCGCTTACGACTCCGCCGCTTACAGTATAGTAATAAGGAGACGAATAAATCAATCACAATACTTGGTCCCAAGCACTGTGGCATGTTAGTGAAAGACTGATTTGTCGCTTCTCCTTACAAGTGTAACAACCTTGTAGTTTTCACTACTGGCTTTGTAAGCGACGGGGTCGTAAGCGGGATCGGACTTCTTTTTCACTAGATCATAACGCTTTGCACTTCTAATTACGATTAGTGAAAACTGGACCAGCCTTAGCTTAAGAGTTGCCGAAACTATCGGTCAACCGGAATAAATCTAAGAACTTGGTTCCAGTTTTGTTGCAGCAAGAATTTATTACTTCAAACTCCGGCATTCTTCCTCAGAGACCCCAGGAGAAAATTACGTTCTACACAATTTTTTGTTTATTTTTTATCCTAAAGATATTTTACCTTCTTGACGAAGACAACAACTGGGGTTTGAATATGTCTGAACTAAAGAAAAAGCTGGATGGGGCAAGGCCGCACTGTTTACCAAGAGCTCTTGTGCTGATAAATCCAGGCAATCCAACAGGTACATTGAATGTTTATCTATTTGTAATTACCTGCAATAATATTAATGAAGATGAAGATGATGATGATGATGGTGATGATGATGATGGTGATGGTGATGGTGATGGTGATGGCAATGATAATAAAATTTCTCTATTTACTCCCGACATTGTTTTTATCAGCACACAATCAGGTTAGTGCGTTCGAGCTTTCTTTTCACGGGGTGTCCCTTATAAAAGGGTGTTCGTTATACCAAGGTGTTAGCTATACAGGCGTTCTTTTTGCTGGGGTGTTTTTTTTTTTTCCTTTTTTTAATGAATTCCTCCTTATACCGGGATATTCATTATCTAGGCAGTCGTTAAACTAGGGTGTCCGTTATATAGAGATTCTACGTTAAACCGAGGTGTTCGTAATATCAGAGTTTAACTATAAAATGTAAACTTGTTCTGTCCTTCGTTTATCCATTAACTTTAGTCACGTTTGCTTCTTGTTTATATATAGGTCAGGTGTTGACGTATGAAGACATTCAAGAAGTAATCAAGTTTTGTGCTCGTGAGAAGTTAGTTTTATTCGCCGATGAAGTTTACCAAGACAACGTGTACGCGGAGGGAGCCCAGTTTCACTCGTGCAAAAAAGTCCTCAGGGACCTCGGAGACGAGTATAGCGGATTTCAATTGATCTCTCTTCATTCCAGTGCCAAAGGGTATACAGGCGAGTAAGTTGTGCGTGTGTGTTTTTCCACTTGTTTGTTTGTTTTTGCGGCCACCTTCAGGAAGTAGACAAGAATGATTTAGTGCCAATTTTGTACCCTTAGGCTCTGTTTCCCAGGCTTATTTGACTGTACATACATAACCACAGACAAACCATTATTAACCCTTACATTCCCAATTACAAATAACAAATTTCCTTTTTTAAAATGCTTAGAAACAATTAGTACCACATGAAAGTATAAACAACGAGGTTTCATTTGAATGGTCACACCAAAAGCCAAAGGATTTCGTCCACCGACTCTTAAAGTTAATTAAAACTTGAATTCCTTACTCGACTACATCATTCATTCTGCGGGAAGTTAAAGGGTTAAGGGGTCACTTGTCAAAGTCCCGGAAAGACCTTTCTCTGAATTACTGATAAGAGTCGCAGCCCTCCTTTCCCTAGTAGTCCTTATCAAGTTTTTTGTATTTCCTTCATCCCGCTATTAAATGTTCACTGTCCTACGAGGAATTTTGCATGTTCATTAAAAACATCATTTTGTCTTTGGCTTGACATTTCCTCTTTTTTGGCACAAGAAAAGGCAGGAAACACTTTGTGGATATTATCGTCTTGAGGTGGATTCTTCATCTGTACTTAACGGTTAACGGTCGGTAATCTCCAACCCAGATCTCATGTAGACGAAGTCGAAGAGATCAACAAGAGGTCTGGTTACGAGACTAGTCAGTTGGCTATTGCCAAAGATGACTGTTGACACAGGTCATGATATTCTCCTTTTAAAACTACAACATCTCGGTATTTCTAAAAACGCTCTCGCGTGGTTCACTAGCTACCTGACCAACAGACACCAAGTCGTGCGTATTAACTCGACCCTCTCGAATTTGTTGCGTTTAAATAGTGGTGTTCCTCAAGGAAGCATTCTTGGGCCGCTTCTTTTTAGTATTTACATTAACGACTTACCTTCTGTTCCTAGAAACTGTTTAACGCAATGTTACGTAGATGACACTAAACTTCAGATTTCTTTTAAGATGCGTGATTGTCCGACTGCTATGAACGATCTAAATAGCGACCTTCTTTTAATACGTAATTGGTGTTTTAACAATTTTCTACTTTTAAATCCTGAGAAAACAAAACTCGTAGTCTTTGGAAGCCGACAACTACTTGCCAAACTCCCCGACTTCAAAATATCTCTTCTAGGAAAAGATCTCGCTCTTACATCTTCGGCCAAAGATCTTGGGGTTGTTCTAGATCCGCAACTAACGTTTGATGACCATGTTTTAAAAACTACGTCATCTTGTATGTCAAGCCTCGCACAAATCAGTCGGGTTAAACATGTTCTTGACCGTAACCAACTGGTGACAGTAATAAATGCCCTAGTCTTTAGCAAATTACTGTACTGTTCCACAGTGTGGTCGAACACCTCGAACAAAAATATCTGTAGACTACAGTCAGTGCAGAACTTTGCCGCGCGCATTATTACAGGTACCAGGAAATTTGATCATATAACCCCCGCACTAAGAGATCTACGTTGGTTTCCAATTAAACAAAAGCTGTTCTTCCGCGACGCTCTCATGGCATTTAAATGCATGACTGGTCAAGCTCCACATTACCTCAGCGATCAATTTACAACAAGAATTGCGGTCACCGGGCGCGTGACTCGAAGTTGCCAATTATTAAACATCCCCTTGTATAAGTCGAGTACCGGACAGAGAACATTCCACTACCGTATGGTGCACATTTGGAACAATCTAGACAGTACTCTTAAAACTGCAAAATCGATTTCTACTTTTAAATTTTATTTGAAAAATAAATTGATTACTGACTTTTTAAATAGCACGTTATGATAGTATTTTAGTATCTTACTAGTATCTTATTTTATTATAATTTTAACTTAAAAATATGCATATTGTATAGTACGTAGTGAGAATATTTATTATTCGATTAACTCTTAAATAGGTATGTTTATATTGCTTTTGTTCACCGCACTCTTTCCTTTTTAATTGAATTGTTAACTACTTCTCTTATCTTAATTAGTAGTCGCATTGTCACTGAAAAGCCCCACCAGGGGAGTGTCAATAAACTATTGTATTGTTTGGTTGTAATGTTCAGCTTTCTGGACTTGCGTATCCCGTGGAATGGTCCTTATGCGCTATCATACGCTTCAGATGAGCAAATTTCACCACCAAGCCTCGTTTGTAAGCAAAATTCTTCGCATTTGCACTCTTTCTGGGTGGGTCTTGGGAAACAATTTAAAAGCAAAACTTCGCCACTTTTCCCCACTTAACAATTCGTTTCCCGGAAATCGGGAATTCAAGTGCTCAGCCTCAGCAGCAAAAATAGCCAACTGATCATGAATGCCAAAACAAATCTTTTGTATTTTCTCACAATAAGGCCTTTGCAGCTAGCTATTCACGTGGTACAAAACCGCTATGCTGGGGAGTTAGGGAGGGGCGCTCTGGGACAAGACAAACAAACAGCTCACTTCATTAAAGTTGTAACTTCCTATGTTTGTCTTCTCCCAATGCGTGTCTTGGGGTGTTTGCCATTTTTATGGACAAACCATTCGGTTGGCGGTTTGGGCATGCAAATGGTAAGCAAAATTCAGTGGTAGTAAATTTCGTCCCGGAATCGCGTTTACCATTTGCGTACAAATCAGTTTCATTTACCGAGAAACAGCTGCGAGAACCTTAAACTGGTATCAAAGGTGGCTTTGAAGAAAAGAAACACGACCGGAAAAACAGAAAAACCTTTTCAGACATTCCTTTGCTCCTCGAAATTTTCCACTGAATTTCTTGAACAGTCGTCAAGTGTACTTTCCAACTGTATTTTTGTAAACGGTAAACAACCTTGCTCTCCATCATGGCGGTTTCGTACCATGCCAAAAGCTGCAATGGGCCAATAGAGGATGTTAGCATCAACAACGACTACGAGTACGAGAACGAGTTCAAGCCGCACTCGTACTCGAAGTCGTTTTCTCAGCTTTCTATGTTAGCGATGACACCGAGTTCGAGTTTATAGAAAATAAAATTATGGGATTCCGCATGACTGGGCGCCAAATTTGAGTCGAAGTAAGGGTCATTTCGTGAGCCTGTGAGGCCTGTGGAGAGACATGAAACTTTCCCGGGTAAATGCAAATTTACTCTGTGTAGGAAATATCGTGTTCGGTTGCTTTTCCTCGACTTCAATAGCAGTTTTTTACATAAAACATAATATAAGGAATGTTCAAGATGATAAAGAGACGCTAGAAACGAAAAGAAACTGCATTAAACGATCGGAATTTACCTTTGAAAACCGGCTCTTCACAGTCGTTCTACCCACTTCGAGTTTTTGGTGAGCACTCGTCGTAGTGCAACTTGACAGGACGACTTGAAAACGTGGAGATGCGCAGAACGGATGCGCAGTACGCAAAATCGCTGATCTCGTTCTAGAACTCGTACTCGTTGTCGATGCTAACATCCTCTAATGGATCTGATCTAGATCTACCGCGGCTACTGGACTTTCTTCATTGCTGTTCCTTGCAGATGTGGGCTCAGAGGTGGATATATAGAGCTCGTAGGATTCAATGATCAACTCAGGTCTCGAGTTAAAACTTACCTGAGTGCAAGAAGTTGCCCTTCCACAATAGGACAGGTACGAATAATGTATGTCATGTAGTGAAATGGGACAGAGGTCCCTAATGAAAGGGCTGCCTGAAACCCTAGTCCACAATTTCCAGTTTGAATTCCTGGAAAGACTTCAGTTAATACCTTCCGTTAGAGCAAAAGTACCTTTGTGCTTCTACGATGATTTATTAACACCCCCCAAGTCCTAGACAAGCCTGGCTGCTTGTGTTTCTCTTTTCGTTATATTGGCTTTGTGTTGTTTGTTCCTCTTGTTGTTTTGTTTTGTTCTATGGTGGTCAGGGTATTAGGCAGTTAAGCAAAAAATTGCAATAGTTCAGATGTAAGTTCAACGTACTTAGGCGTCTCTCACACTACGCGCAAAGAATGGCGGGATGGTGAAAGATGGCTTTGCTCTCCTTTCTTACTCCTCCCATAAAGCTTCGCGCTTCTCTTATTTCCGCCTTGTGTCGCGCGAGTCTCGAAGCGCTTGCAGCGGAAGCTGCACGGCAAGAAAACCCTCATTTACCAGTTTAATTTTACAAAACGGTAAATCCTAGAAAATTCGGCATTCACCATCTGCTTTCCCACTCCTGAAAACATCCCGAAAATTACTAATTTTCCTTGTGTGAATCCAAGGAAAATTGGGAGTTAACCTGGCGTTTTCCTGCACTTGAAAATCTCAGGCAAACACCGTATTTTAGAAGGCGTTTTCATGTATTTTCCAGACCAGGTGAACGTGCAGTTTGTGCGGCATTTTCCTACTGTATTTGTTAACAGTTAACGCAAGGAAAATATTTCATTAACCTACAGTTTTCCACCTCTAGAAAAACATCGACGAACATGTTGTTTTCTAAGCGTTTTCTGTTGTTTTCTGCGGTGGCCAAACGTAGAGTTTTTCGCGGGTTTTTTATTTGACAGCAAACATAAGGAAAACATAACGTTCATTTGCCATTATCCTTCCAGTGATAATGCTGCGTTAGCGCCTCGTTTTCCTTAGTAGGTGAATGCGGTGTTTTCTAACCGTACCTGTTAACGGTTAACGCGAGGAAAACATCATCAGGGACACAGAAAACATGGGTCTCGGGAAAAGTTTGGCCCGATCTCGAAGATCGCTGAAGCGTTTTTGATGTCGGTCTCGAAGTCTCGTTTTCCGGTGACTCCGTGAGTTTCGGAGTTTTTAAATCACGGCAGTCTCGCAGTCTCCAATTTACAATTCTTTACCATTATCATCGATCAGGTTCCTGCGTGAACCGAGATCGAACCACCTCGATCTACCGAGCCGTTTTCTGCAACCCGCATGTCGACTTCTGGTCACTTCTGTAACGTACCATTACGAGAGACCGTTGTGATAATCAAAATGCCAGTCTAACCTTATTACGGAATGCAGGACTTGTTAATAATTTATAGCGAAATTGGGACGTTGCTTTAGACCCTGTGAACAGAAAGGACAATTTTTTTTGCCAGCTTATGTAGGTTGTTTTAATTTTACTGGAAGGAAAATGGATTTGATGATATTTGCCTCAAATACGAATCTAAGACAAATCTGATGTCAGATTTGTCCACCCAACAAATGTCGCAAATGTGAGACAAATCTGTTATTACACTTGTCTCGAAGAAATGTGGGACAAATGTGTTTCAAATATGCTATTATATTTGCCCTTGTACAAAATTTTTTTTAAAACAAGAAAAATGTGACGAGTAAAAATTCTTTATCGTTAACTTTTCATTCAGTATAATCGCAATTTAATTTTCGAACAATTGTTTCGAAACGTCAGGGATACGCCCTGATTCCTTGTCTATCCGAAGACGACACGTTACGGAAGGACAAGTTATTAAGGGAAAAAGGAAAGAATCAGCTGTCAATGACCGACCTTGGTAACTATTTTGAGAATATTTTTTTTGGAAGAAAAAGTAAAGCTCCTCTTAATAAATTAAATGGCGGGACATTCTTATTATGCTTTTTCAGTAGACAGTTAAGGCAGTTTGGGTCTTCTTAATACTTTTCTGTGATTTAATCACTGAAGACAATTTGCTGTCTTGGTAAATATTGAACTGGATAGGATGGGGGTAATCATTGTATTTGTTAGTTCACTCCATGATCATTTTTGTGCCTTTTGGTTGTGACATCTAGCTGATAATGACCTTTGTAACATTAGGCACTTAGATAGCTGTCTTATTTAGGGTGTCATGGGCATGACTGGGTATTTGGTGATTCTGGTACGTTCAGTGATATCTGACAATGAATAGATTATTAATTGCCCATACATATTATCAGGTTTGGTAATGTACACGGGTCCTGATTCTATCCACGGGGTGGGTGAGATATGAAGGGTTGCATGGTAACTGTTTGGTTTGGGGTCACTTTGGCATTTTCTCGTAATATCTCATAATCTCTAGAGTAATTTGGTTGGCTATTGCGTTTTTTTGCATGCCTCTTGAACAGCATTAATGTGTATTAAAGATATGTGATCTTAGACTAATAAGTTTAAGTTTAAGTCGAACTTCAGACCTAGTAGGAGTGGAGTAAATGTTTCAGATGATAAAAATACTATATTTCACTCTTTGACAGGAGACAATTCATTCTAAAAAGGCACTTTGCAACACTTGAATAGCAAAATAATCAAGGTGACCTACAGATATACAACAGAATCCTGACTTTGCAAACCCTTGTTTTTTTATAGCCTCCTGACAATTCAAACCAAAACTGACTACCTTTCCCCAAACCAGGGTACAAAGAAAATCATTTTTACAGCTTGCCATTCGGGCAAGCTGAAGCTAGCATTTACTAGGCAAGATGTCATTTCAACTAGCCCCCAAAACTTTTTGACTAGCAGAATTGATTTCATAGTTCTTCTGTTATTCGATTCTCAAAAAACATCACTTGCCCATTGGGCAAGTTTAAAACAGAATTCACTAGCCCGATAGCAAAATCCACTAGCCCCGGGCTATCGGACACTACTTTCTTTGCACGTTGCCCCAAACACACACTTATCCTAAAACCAATTATCATTAATTGAATATTTTTCATTTTCTGCAAGAGGTTTGGCAGCTTTTGCACTATCCCTGAAAATAGAACACCTGATCGTAGGTTAGCCCTTGGCCCCCCTAGAAGCTAGCCCTTGGCACTCATGTAGAAAGTCTGTCAGTATTTATCCTACATGTGCATTGTAATCAAAATAAAAAATAGAACTAGAGACACTGTACAATCAAGAATTCTGGATAATTCGTGTCCAGATAATAGTTTTATTGAGGTTCAACTGTACTGTGTTTTCTTGGACAAATGAAAATTAAACAACACAGGATGTCATCATTAACAAAGGTCCCACCAATATTTTGCTAGATACTAGCAATGTTGAACTCAGCTTGTTACAGCGAGAACTTTTTCCCTCTTCTGAATTATTTCTCCAGATATACAGTGTGAACTGATTCTCTGAACTGGAATGAAACATGCAGGTCCAAACAAATCAAATGTATTACATCAGATTTCCAAGGGAAATCCATATTCATAGCGATCTGGATGTTTTGAATACCAGTTCACTCTCGCAAAATAAAATTTATATTTCTGGACAGTTGAATTGGATGATACTGGTTTAGTCTTAATGCAGTGACGGAAGAATGTGATGACTTTTCCAGGTCTTTGATCATCAGATCCTCTGCTTGTGGCTAATGATCCTTCTGTCCCTGCCCAGTTAGCCAGAATATAAGAATTTCTTGTCGTTTGGCTTTGCTGTGATCCATAAAGCATTGAACCAACCTTAATGGCTTTGAATTCTGAGATAGTAAATGGCATTTCGATGGAAGTCCTTGCATCAAGTCCCAGAAGCTCCTGATACACTATTTTGAGTGCATTTAGATCATCACTGTCCAGTGATTCATCTTTAGCAGGTGACACTGGAGAAATGCAACTGTTTGCTGTCCAGTCACAACCACTCAAATCTTTAATAGATGCTTCCCTGTGTTCTTGTAGACTAAGGAAGCTGTTAGTGCTTTATTGTAAGGTACTCAGTCTGAATTCATTACGCTTGATTTCTAACCCAAGGTAATCATGGGACTCACTTGCAACCCTCCCAAGCCTGGCGATGAATCGTATGAAAAGTTTTCAAAGGTATGCTCCTAACTGTAACTTAACGCAGAGAAACTCACGCGCCTCGCGTGATCATAATCAGTGTTACTTTATCACTCGTGTAATTTTTTAAAGGGGGCTCTGTCTCGGCTGACTAGTTTATATGGTTGGTAATGGCAATAACGAGTCATTATTCGCTATGGAACTTGAGAACTTAGTACTTAGTTGTGAATGACAAAATTAATAGCGTTGTATTATTCTTTTTTTCAGCCTGTCTCTAGTGCTCAGGCTCTAACTCGTTCCAGGTTTTAACGAAAATGTAACAATTTGAACCGTAGCTTTTCACGATACAGATAAAACAGTGAATAATACAATACTTAGTCAGGTGAC